ATTTCATTATTTTTGTCTAAAAAATGTTTGGGATTTGTTCTTTCTACAATTTATACACCGAGAGAACATCCGGGATCATGGTTTTCGCTAAACCGATTCATCTATTGTATTCATCACAAACCCTTTATTTTCTGAAAACGGGGAGAGTTAGATTTGTCTCCAATTAATTTACCTTTGAATAGAGCTTCACACTTGAGAATTCATTATTTCTATAATACGAATCTCCGAAAACACAATTAGCTTTTATTCTTTATTCTTCTCCTCCCGATGGAAAACTTTAAGTGGCTGTAATTAGCATTCATTTTTTCCTGCAGATGAAATCAAGCAAGTGAAGCATATTGCTTGTCTTTTTAAACTTTAACAACAAACTGTCTGTCAGGGGTCTCTCAGAACGCACCATCTCTCAGATCAGCCCCCGCTCTTGCTTGTTCTTCAGAATCAATGCAGCCATGCATCATAAGCACTGATCTGGGACCTGTTAAGCAGACTGCTGACAGTAGGCACACCGACAGGCCGGTTAAGAGCTTATTTAGATGTACAGCGATCGGTCGCCCCCCTGTAGTTCTCGTTCCCCATCTCTGAGTCTGTCTGCCTCTCCAGCTCTCCAAAGTTCTTGTGTGTGTGTGTGTGTGTGTGTATGTGCGTGTGTGTGTGTGAGCTTAAAAAAGAATAGCTCAACGGGAAGGGGGGTGGTAGAGTTGGGGATGGTTGCTATGGTTGCCTCACTATAGCAACCGACAAACGTTTACAAAGCATTGAGGAATTTCCTCATATCAGCTGTATTATTGGAGCCCCTAGAGACGGACTCTCATTCCAAACAACCACTGGAGATCATCAGTATCCTGGTGGGGGGGACCAACCTTCATTGCCATTTTAGTTTTTTTTTCTTCTTTTTTCTATTCATGGTTGGGGGGTATGTTGTTTTTCCACCCCTCTACATTTTCCAAAGTCCCCTTTCCTTACCTCCTATTCTTTTCTTTTTTTTTGTGGGAGGCTGCCTTGTCTCCATTTGTCTTTTCTTTTTCTTTGCTTTCCAGTTGTTGAGTGCACGATTTAGGATATGTTTCCACTAGTGCATTTTCATTTTAAAACGCAACTTTTGTTGGAGTTACACCTGGCATCCACACGACTAAACTCTTTCAACTCTTGAAAATGGAGATTTTTGAAAACGCTGTGGACCTTGTACTAGTTACAAATCTTCAGGGTCGCATTTTTGTGTAGACAGCCAAAAACACAGACCTTTGAAAATAAAAGCATGAATGCCCACCTTCGCACCCATTACCCTGAGTTTTGTTTCATGTGTGTGATGTCATCAAGTTCAAGGAAACTGAGACAACAGAAGGCACATCCTAAAAGTCCCTGTGAATTTAAAATGAAGGTTTTTGAATGTTTGCATCAGCATGTTAGTCTTATGGATATATTTATACAGCAGTTCTGTCTGGTTCTCGAATCTGATTGGCTGATAGCCGTGTGATATTCTGCAATACCAGAACTCACCCTTCTGTATTACTCCAACCACATAGAGTGACAGCAGCCTAATAAACTCACTACAGTTTGACAAATTTTGCTGCTGTTGGACAACATAATGTACTTTTGAGGTTTTTGTAGTTGAGAATGCAGTTGTTCAGATTGCAACTTTGCAGTTTATTTATAAGGATAGTGCGTATTATTTAGAATTTCGGACATATAGCATGTCGGCATCCATCAGCCTTTCATACTGAGCAGAGCAAAGACGGTTGGCGTTGTCCATCCAAAAGATGGCTACAAAGACCGCATAATAAGCCCTTAGAAGATTAAAATCTGCGAAATTTTAGGATACAGCTGATCGAATCATTTTAAAAGTGGGAAGTGACTTTCTAGGTCCATCCCTCTCTTTTTTTATGTTGTAGTGCTGTATTTACACCGTAGTAATATTAGTGTATTGAGTGTACAGAGATGGGACTTGGATATCAGAAATGTGTGTATTTTGTGTTGGCCACTCTTTGTATAACCCTGAGTTCCTTTGTGGTTGGCCATCTGTTTGTTTCTAATGACTTACTGCAGACTAGTTCAGAAAAGAGAGAAATAAAAAGAAATGCCAGCATGTGTTTGGCGTTTTTCCTTATCGCAAACACAACAGCGATTTGCTAGTGTTTTCATTGCTTTGGCTTTTTCAGGAATAATTATTGTGATATTCCAATGGCAACAGAGAAATATTCTAGACTGTCTAGACTCTAGACTAGAAATGTCTCTAGACTGATGGCATTTCATGCCGTTCAGCCCAATAAACTTTATTCAGCCTTACAATCGAACTGTTATATAAAAGCAATATCACACTCGTAGCAGTGTTATATGGTTGTATATCGTCACTAATAGGAGACTAATGCACGCCTCCCACCAGTGCCAATATACTGTACAGCCAAATCGCACTGCTACTCGTGTGATATTGTTTATATATATATATATATATATATATATATATATATATATATATATAGATGGATGGCTGGATTTATAAGACTATGTGCCCCAAAAAATTTGCATTTACAAGATATAATGATCCAAAGCTTGCAGTGTGTCACTTCCACCTAATTGGATCAACATAAGGTTTTTGACATCACCTGATACTTTAGTTTCTAATCAAATCATCTGCCCAATCAAATTCTCTCTAGTATCTGTCATTCCCTTGTACCACTCCCTTCAAGACTCTTCTCATTTGATTTTCATTTGATGCACTTAAGCTCAAACACTCTCACCGGCAGAGTTGTGCTTAAAAACTAGATGCTATTGGCAGTTTTTTTTTAGGGGGAGGAGCTATTCTGTCCCACCCTGTCTTCATATTTCAATTGGGATACGTCAAACGTCGAATACAAAATGCACATTTCGAAGCGCTTCACAGCATCTTTTAGATTAAAACTTTGTAATTTCAAAGTAAACTCATTGCAGTTTTGAATTATGTTTTACTCTTGCCTGTATAGCCAAATGTATTTGAGGTGAAAAAAATGTCAATATTTATGATTGCACATTGTAGCATTGCTAAGTTGACATCAAAGTTACGCTATACAGTATACGCAACAGCCAGCTATAGAGTCTATCTTATACAAACTTGACCTGTTGTTTATATTACATGCCATTTTAATTTGTTTAATTTAAGAAGTGTACAGGGGATATATGGGATTTTGTAGTATAATTTTATATCTTTCATTCTGTCATGCGCTTTTGATTGTGTAGTGTGGATAAGGATCTTTTTTTGAAGCACCCGAGTGGAACAGTGATTGTTTTCATTGTAAAATACTTTGTTAAAACAAAAAAACATTAGTGTAAACATAGCCTTAGAGGGTTACATCAGAATATTGACAATGGTGGCAAACTTAAATTGTGGCTTGAGCTGTATTCCTGTCGACCAAACAGAGCCACGCTGCGGTTGTGATGGGTTTGTTAATGTCTCCTTTGTTCTTTTCTTCATAATAGAGTTCAGAGGTGAGGATCCTGCTGGGGATGTGGGTGACTCAGTCTGACTTGGCTAGGTTGAGCTTCTGGTCCTTTCAGGAGAAGACGGTGTGAAAGCCGCTTTGTACACTTTTCTTGGCACATGCGTAGAGTTGTATTTCAGCTGGACGCTCTCTAACAACCTGTTGGAGCCCAGTTTGATTGTATCATGTATCTTAAGTAGATGTAAAAAGTAGCATGCTTTTTTTATACAATATTTTATGGATATCTTGGTCATGAAATGATAATCTGGCAGTTCTTTAATCTGTGTGTTTAAGCAAAAGTGGTGTGGTGAATAGTGTGTTTGTAGTGATTGTTTTAGTGATTAAAACAGAAACACGAGCTGCAAATTAGGAGGTGAATAGCAGCTCATTTACATTCAAATATATTAACATAGCATACTTTGGCCCAATCCCAATTCTATTTTTATACTCCTACCCCTTCAAAATTTACTCCTAAGAAATGGCACAACACTTGCACACATCATCATATGTCATCACCATCTCTTGCTTCATATGAGATCAGACTATCGGGACTGCTGTAGTTATTTCAATTGTTTTATTTTTTTGGTATTTATCTTCAGGAAATCACTGAAGGCATATATTATGTTATCATAACCATCTAATGTGGCAATAAGATCATAATTGTACTATGCATTTACACAGTGGCCATATTCATCAATGAAAACACACCAAAAACATCATTAACATTATAGCATACACTGTAAAAAGCTCATTCCAAGCCACTAGACCTTTCTGGCAGGGTATTCGAGTGTCACTGAGTGTCAGAATGTTGTGGGACTGCTATACATGAGTTACTATTAGGGATTATTTATTGTGAAATTTAGCGCTTTTTATTTTAGCCTTTTTTTCTTAAAGCATGACGGTAAAACACAAGCGCGGTTATGAATATATTAAAACATATGTGTTTGTCTGTTGTAAAAATTCTTAATAATGACGAAAAAATACTAATTTGTGGATCTCCTTACTTCCGGGTGTAACTATTCTGCCGCTGTGGCTGGTGTATTCTAGGAAATTTTATTACCCCTTGGTTTTGGGTGTGGTCCTGAAAAATCTTCGTTCCAAGGGCTATTCACCCCTTTCCCTTAGCCCTACACCTTCAAGCTAAAGAGAATTGGAAACCCCTACCCCTTTACAGGAACGCGCTAAACAAGGTGTAGGGGTAAGTGCTAAGGGGTCATTTATTATTTATTTAATTACTATTTAATTTATTTAATAACTTTCAAACACTAAGCATTTCTTGCCTTAAGAGAATATAAAGTACATACTGCTTGAAGTTGTCTTTAAAGAAAGCTTTGTGGATAATATAACCCATAAAAAAATAAAAATGTTGCTAATGTAAATGGGCTTTCGGCATACTTTTTGGTAGGTACTATAATCTTGTGTGCATGGTGATCAGTTGTTTAATATGGACATTACAACAGATTAAAAACCACTCAAGACCAATTGGAAACAGTTATCTTTTCTTTTAAGGTTTTTCACTTCCTTTCTCTTTGTCCATCACACGCTCAGGAGAAACGATGCAGCGGTCAGAAGGGGGCTCAGAGACGCCATCCACCGTGGCGTTAAGAACATCCACTTCAGCCCAGGCACCAGTGGTTCAGCCTGTTCCCGCTTCGCAACAAGTGAGCAGACTCAGTAGCACAACCTAACAATACACTGATGATGAACACTCCTGAGACATTCACATGAGCAGTTTAATATAAAGATCTTTAGCTCTTTTGTCGGAGTCTCTCTGAAGATGCTTCAGTATGCGCTGGATCCATCTGAAGCGATGAAAGATTTCTCCTCACCCACACCCTTCATCTGTCAGAGCCACTTGAAATGATTAGCAATGACTTTGCGTGGTGCTCCTGAGGGAGATGTTGGGTTCGGATCAAGAACACATCTAAAGAAACCAGTCTTTATGTAATTGCTGCTAATATTTTGAGTAGAGCATCACATCTCCCTGGACAGCTGTGGAGGATCTGACAAAAACCAGTGAGGGATGAAATGTAGGCTCTAAGCATGTTACATTTGTGCTGCTAGCAGTCTGTATAAAAGACGGCACTTTTACAAATGAAGGTCTTAAGACCTTTTGCAGCTTTTTTATCTCTTTTAATGTGTTTTGATAAAACACAGAAATGTCACCTGTCATCATTATTATTCATTTAGTTCTGTCAGACATAGTTGAGCCAGCTGATACACTATAATATTCAGTTGAAGTAAGAATTATTAGCCCCCTCTTGTTTTTTTTTCTTTTTTAAATATTTCCCAAATGATGTTTAACAGAGCAAGGAAATTTTTACAGTATGTCTGATAATATTTCTTCTTCTGAAGAAAGTCACATTTGTTTTATTTTGGGTAGAATAAAAGTAGTTTTTTTTAAACGCCGTTTTAAGGACAATGTTATTTGCCCCTTTAAGCTATATATATTTTTCGATAGTCTACAGAACAAACCACTGTTATACAATAACTTGCCTAATTACCCTAAACTGCCTAGTTAACCTAATTAACCTAGTTAAGCCTTTAAATGTCACTTTAAGCTGTATAGGAGTGTCTTGAAAAATATCTAGTAAAATATTATTTACTGTCATCATGGCAAAGATAAAGTAAATCGGTTATTTGAGATAAGTTATTAAAACAATTATGTTTAGAAAAGTGTGGAAAAAATCTCTCAGTTAAACAAAAATCGGGATAAAAAATAAACAGGGTGGCTAATAATTTTGGGGGGCTAATAATTCTGACTTTAAGTGTGTGTGTATATATATGTATATATGCTCTAAAAAATGGCTTTTTAGGCCTTATGCTGCACATGCCAAAGTTCTTGTACGCTTTTAGGATTAAAAAGAAATTTAAAATCTATTGACAGTGTTTTACTGTAAGCAAACATCTATATACCGGCCACACTGCTAGAAGCAGCTATTATATGAATGTGTAAATATGTGCTGTATGCTGTATTTTTAACAACAATCCCAGTTGTAAGAGCAACAAATAATAACTTGACTTCTAGTTGATTAATTGAAAAAGTGTCAGAAGGTAGATTTTTCAGATAAATCTGTTGAACTGCATCCCAATCATCACAAAAACTGCAGAAGACCTATTGGAACCCACATGGACCCAAGATTTTCATAGAAATCAGTCAAATTTAGTGAAGGAAAAATCATGGTTTGGGGTTACATTCAGTATGGGGGTGTGCGAGAGATCAACAGCCTGAGGTATCAAAACATTTGTACTGCCCATTACATTACAAACAACAGGAGAGGGCAAATTCTTCAGCAGAATAGCTCTCCTTTTCAAACTTTAGCCTCCACATCAAAGTTCCTGAAAGCAAAGAAGGTCGAGGTGCTCCAGGAATGGCCAGCCCTGTCAGAAGACATGAACAGTATAGAGCATGTCTGGGGTACAATGAAGGAGGAGGCATTGAAGATGAATACAACGAATCTTGATGAACTCTGGGAGTCCTGCAAGAACGCTTTCTTTGTCATTGCAGATGACTTTATTAATAAGTCTTTTGAGTCACTGCAGAGATGTATAGATGCAGTCTCCAAGCTCATGGGAAACCTACGCAATATTTATTCTTTTTCCACTGCAGCATGACTTTATATTCTATACTGTACATTATTTCTGATAAGTGACAAAACTTTTCTCTAAGGAAAGTCAGACTTCACTGTCCTAATTAAATAAATAAGAATCAAGGCACGATAATTTTTTATTTTGGTAAAAAGAATGTAATCTAGAGGCGTGTGCCTTTCATATAAGCCACTTCTGATACCAAATGATCAACTAGAAGTCAAGTTATTATTTGTTGTTCCTAAAACTTAGATAGGCGACCAGACTTTGGTCAGCTAGTGTATATACTCTATAAAATTGGCTTTTTAAGCCCCCGAAATGCACATGCCAATGATCTTTTATGGTCTTCACTTAGGATTAAAAATAAATTTGAAATGGCTTGTTTGGCAGTGTTAGCAAACATTTATACACTGTCCTCGCTGCTAGAAATAGCATTTAGATGAATGTGTAAGCAGTGGTGCAGTAGGTAGAGCTGCCGCCTCACAGCAAGAAGGTCGCTGGTTCGAGCCTCTGCTGGGTCAGTTGGCATTTCTGTGTGGAGTTTGCATGTTCTCCCTGCGTTCACGTGAGTTTCCTCTGGGTGCTTCGGTTTCCCCCACAGTCCAAAGACATGCAGTACATGTGAATTGGTTGGGCTAAATTGTTCGTAGTGTATGAGTGTGAATGAGTGTTTGTATGGATGTTTCCCAGAGGTGGGTTGCAGCTGGAAGGGCATGCGCTGTGTAAAACGTGCTGGATAAGGTCATTCCGCTGTGGCAATCCCTGATTAAAAAAGGGGCTAAGCCAAAAAGAAAATGAATGAATGAAGTCATGTCATGTTTGTTTATATACCAAAAATCAAGCCATTATATAGATCAGTGGTTCTCAAACTGTGGTACGTGTACCACTAGTGGTACGCGGGCTTCCTTCTAGTGGTACGCAGAGGAATGAAATATGCCATGTACATGCTACACACATTTCAAAATTTATTAAAATAGATGTATATAATATGCCATATATGACTTATAGCCTACATTTCTGAGGTAATCTGCCACATTTTTTTTAACTTTGCAGGGTTGTAGTGCTTTACTGAGCCTACTACGCTACTGTATTTCAATACTGCTCATTTTGGTGGTACTTGGAGAGACAATTTTTTTCTGAGGTGGTAATTGATGAAAAAACTTTGAGAACCACTGATATAGATGGAATTTAAAAAAAAAAGTGTCAATTACATTTGCATCTACAATTTCTACAATAAAACCGTTTGTCAAGATGTTCAAGTATTTGCTTGCATCTAACTTTGACTAAACAATAAATTAAATGAAGATTTCACAGTGCCAGTTACTGCACAATGAACCAATAGTATTTTGGGCATGTTTACTAAATAGGTAATTATTCTTATAAAGAGCTCCCAAGATAGACTCCAAACTAACTTCTTTTGCTCTGATTTAGGAAAATGTCACATTGAAACAATTCCGCACATCACATTTTAAAGTGAAAAGGGTCTAATATTTGACATTTGTGTGTGTGTGTGTGTCCCTCACCTGCAGCGTGTTTTAGTTCAGGCCACCGGTTCTTCCCAGAAGGGAGCTCAGGTGCAGCAGTTACCAGTGCCTAGAGTGCAACAGGTCCCTCAGCAGGTACACACACACACACACACACACACACACACACACACACACACACACACACACACACAGACACACACAGACACACACATACAGAAGAGTCAATCAAACCCTGCACGCTCACTGCACATCCTGTGGACCCGCAACACCTCTGCCTTATCTTTTGCCTCTCTACATATCTCTTTCGCTCTCTCGTGACTGTTCTTGTCTTTCCATCACACTCTTTCTCTCCCAGCATACTGTCAGAATCCTGAAATGCAGACATGTTTTACTTTCATGCACGTCACGCTTGGGCTGTTGCGGCTAATATGTTAATAAGTAGTTTTGGGCTCGACAGGGCATCTCTGATTGTTGAGGTGAAGCTTTGCGCTCACTGCCCCCTACTGCCTGCTGCCTGCCTACAGCTGTTTGTCTCATTTCCCTTACAGAATCTGCACTAGCACATCTCAAGAACTTCGCTGTGGTAATTTGGCAGCAGTCTGATCAGTGTGTGTGTTTGTGTTTGAAGGTACAGCAGGTTCAGCATTACCATTCCCAGCAGGTGCAATATGTGGAGGGTGCAGAGGCTGTCTACCCCAATGGCACAATGTAAGCACCCTTCTGTCTGTCAGATGCATTCATGTTGTTCACTTTGAGGATGTAACTCAGTTGTCAATAGTCAAGCTTAAGGATATTTTTATATTGCCACTCTTTTATTGAATTCTAAGCGACAGCTGTGACTTATTAAAATAGCGACGCAATAATTGTTTCTTGGTGCTACAGTATATTATACATTGTGGTGTATTTGTTTTTATAACAATATAGACCATTTCCATTACCATCCTAAAGTATTTCCTCTTTTACATTTTTCATTGTCATAGCTCTGATAATCCAATAAGGTCAACATATTAATAAATAATGCTATGATAGCTGTTTTAACATAAAACTATGATTGAATTGCCTCTTTTTAAAGTCATAAAATAGATTGACAAGAAGCAGTGAATGTTTATGGGCCAATGTCATCGCCACTTTGAAATGCTCTATAATGTAATCAGCAATTGTAGTGCTTTTTTGCAGCAGAAAGAGAGATATATTTTTAAATGTTTATTGCTAAAATATAATTGTTTTACAAACATACTAAATTATTATCATTGATCAAAAGAAGTTTAAACTTATTTATTTCATAGGGCTGTCAAATGCTAAAAAAAAATAACGTAATTAATCACACTTTTTTATAATTAATCATGATTAATCACGAAACGCCGTATTTATTACAGAAATAAAGACACAGGCATTTAAGTGCAATTTGAATTTCAAAACATTCAATGCCAATAACAAACAAAAATGATTTCCATGGTTCATTCTAAGTGGACTACACACACACACACACACACAGACAACACGCGCAGTACAGAGTGAGGGATCCCTTTAGATTCATCAACGCATGATCGCATTCATCAAATTTGCTTAAGCTAAGCCTTTTAAACTATGGCTGTATTTTACAAGCAAGGATGCTGACACAGCAACATGAAGCAGACGCTTTACAAAAGTTGCGTGTAGGGGGGAAACACGTCAAACTTATGAAATGTGAGGGCTCATGGAAGCAGCTTAAGGCAGAGAATAGAGCTGCCTTTGACAGCTTGCGATTTCATTTGCCGTTTACACTCAGTACATTTACATGGACACAAATACTCCGCTTTTATGATTAAGAAAAAACAGATTAAGAGTCTACCATGTAAGCAGCGATTTTTTGATTACCTTAAATAATCACGCGAGTCCCGAAATGCGGAGGTTTTTCTTTCTGTTCGCTATGCAGTGTCAAATTCCGTTAAAACATCCGGAATGAAAATATGCTGAATGAGAGTGAACTGCTGAACTGCAGTTAAAGTCGAAAGATTAAAAATGAAACACCCGATCATAATTTAAATGTTTGTAGACCAGTGTTTCTCAACCACGTTCATGGAGGGCCACCTACATGTTTTGGAGGTCTCCTTTGTATGTGACTCCCATTACAGGTCTTTCAGTCTCTTTTAATGAGCTGATGATCTGAATCAGGTGTGTTTAGTTAAGAAGACATAAGCTGCGTGCAAAAACCCCTACTACTCAGTAGGTACTGCATTTTGATTTCAATTTACTACTCAGCCATTAGAAAAGTATGTTCTATACAGTATTAGTGTGAGTAGTATGAATGGAATTTGGAAGTACTACATCCGCCATTTTGTCATGATCACATGACCTGTCTGCGTCAGTTGCATCACTTCACTCCCATTTCTGAGTTCTCTCGTAAGGCATCATAAGATAGCGTAGAATACATCATATGCACACTTTAGAATTTCACCGGAAGTAGTACGTCATCTGGGTACTTCTCGCATACTGTTTTTTGTATTCTATGATTTTGGACATACTATTCGGCTCGCATACTGTTTTTAGTGTAATGTATAGTATGAACATATGTGATTTCGGACACAGCCAAGGAAAAATGTGTAGAGCTGGTGATCCTCCAGGTACGTGGTTGAGAAACAAATTCACCTGTTTTAAGGTTGTTAAAAAGTTAAAGTCAATAGTTGATTATTTTGAAATGAGTTATTTTGAAAATCGAGACAATAGTTAAAACTAAACACGCCTGTATTTTTATCCTTCTTCAGTCGTGCTGCATACTCTTATAACCCAGAGTCCCAGCTATATGGTCAGGGCAGTGGAAGTGCCTATTTCGACTCTCAGGCGGGTGGTGCTCAGGTAACCACAGTCGTCTCTTCTGGTGGAGTGCCCACTCATGGCATGGTGGGAATTGCTATGGATGTGGGTGGCAGTCAGATCATTTCCAGCGGCAGCGCCTACCTGATCCACGGCGGGATGGAAGGTGGCCGCCACCACACCTCTCACTCCTCACGCTCATCATCTGCAATGGTACGTTCCACTGTGCTTAAGTCCTGAACATGGGAGTAACATGGGAGGGGAGTTTGGGGAGCTGTGGTTTAGAAAATGAGCACAGCCTAATAATGCTATATTCCAGATGAGGTGTGACAGGAATGTACAGAGATATGTTTACATGGTCAAAAACAATGACTTATCCCTCAGTTTGCGAAATCTCCCCAAAAAGTTGCGCTTCCAGTTATCACACTAAATGTGTATGCATTGCATCATTATTGCCACTAATATTAAACATTATTGCAGAGTTGGTTTTCCCCTAAATGAAACTTTGTTTATGTGAATTATTTCAAATGTGAAGTAAAGTAGTTTATTTGTTGAGAAGTAGGCATGGGATAATAACCGTTTTTTATGTACACCATGGTTTGGAAAAGTCAAGGTTTAAAACCACCAAAATGTTCTACTATACTGTTCCTAAGGTATGTATAAGATTTTTTTATTTACATGTTTTTTAGGACAACAGAGGAAAATATATAAAAAATATATACTATCTTCAGCAGAAAACATATCCAAAATATCCATTTTAAATTGTAAAAATACATTTGTAACTGTAAAGAGACATTTAAAAGGTATATATTTTAGAGCAGTAATCACAATACCATGAAACCATGATAATTTTATCCCAGGTTATCATATCGTCAGAATCTTATACCAGCCCATGCCTATTCAGAAGACAAATTAAGGTATTGTTTTATCAAATATGAGATATTTCTGTCCCTTCGTTTATAGCCTGTTCATCCAAAATATGGCACAAAAAACTTAAACTAAATCTACATGAACTGAGTGGTGTCATGAAACTAAAGTCTCTGAAGCGACTCGATCACTTAATAAGGTGAACAGATTTAATTTAATCTTTTATCCAAATAGAAACACATGGAGTGACAGAAAATTATTACTTTTTTGTCAGTGGATTAACATGGGAGTAAGTGGAGTATGATTAAATGTTAATTTTTTTTGCTGAATAAGCCTCAAATTTATATTTGTTTTTATAAAACCAACCTCTTGTAATTGGCTTTGCAAATTATATGCAATATTTTAACTCCTGTCATAACTATGTAGCCCATAACATGATACAGTATATTTTTTGCATGATGTGTGCAAGCATACTAGAAAGACATGGGGAATTAAAACAATAAAGCCTGACTAGAAGTTCACTCACTTAAAAAGTGTCTGAATGTGTCATGTAATCAACTTTAACTGCAATAAAATGCATTTGTGTGTCAAATTTTTCTATTTACATGCTCTATTTATGCTCAATTCTCCAGAGGAAACAAACTGACGGATGAGTCAAAATTTACTTTTATGTGGTATTCAAAAACATGTCACAGATGATGTTAATTCTTGCCTTCTTTCACAACAAGTGTTTCACAAGTCCCTTTCTCAGAAAGATGCATCATGCGAACACATTTGTCTCTTAGAGTTCTGAGTAGAGAAGAGATGACACACACTGTCATGAGAGTCTAGCTTTCTTTCACAGTGTGCTAGTTTATGAGGTGGGCTGGAAGCAGGGACAGTGTTTAAAAAAGGCGACTGCCTCTAAATAATCCAGCTCTGCCTTGTTTTAGCAGTTTTCACAGCCACTTGAGTGGCCTCCGAAACAAAGCAACCCCTGGGGCTCATTACCATTTGGCCAAGGGCCCTCGGGAGCCTTTTAAAGACTTGGAAATATGCCCATTTTTTTTCTCCCTGTCTCCCTCTTTTTAAGTTTCGCCACTCTGCCAGAACTTTCTCTCTTTACCTCTTTATCTCTCTCTCTCTCTCTCTCTCTCTCTCTCTCTCTAATCTTTTCTCCTGAATCTCTTTTTCATGCCTTATTCTCTCTATTCCAACTTTTGAAATAGTATTTTCAAAATAGTATGGAAAGACAGTCTAGTTAAGAAACTTGTCCCCTCTTCCCCTGCTAAGACCTGCAGAAGAATATGTTTATTAGGCTTAAATTAAATCTGCTTTTTTTAGCGGCAGACATCAAACGCGACAGTGTCTTCACAGAGGGCACAACCTCGCTAACTGTGTGATTTGAGAAGTGGCTACCGAGATTGTCTCATCTGTTTGAGAGTAGCCTGACCTCACGCCCTGTGTGTTCAGCTCATTAGCATATATGAGGCCGAGACAGGAAGAGTGGCGTAACCCTCTGAGTTCCTCACATTTGCATGCTTTTTGTCCACCCGTAATGAATGTGGCTGCAAACACTGACAGACTGTAATGGAAATGCTCAAAGTCCGGCTGCAGCTAACAGACTGATTTCCTTTTCTTTTTTTTTTGTTTGTCTGTGTCATTTTCACTCTCTGTTGTCCCCCCACCCTCAAAATTCCACCCCGTTTTTTTTTTTCTCCTTCTCTTTCCCCCGTTTCATGTCTTGCATGCTCCCACTTTTCCTCAGCTTGAAATGGCGATTGAAAACCTCCAAAAGTCAGAAGGGATTGCCACTCACAAAAGCAGCCTGCTCAACAGCCATGTAAGTCAAACTGGGAAAAAACTTTATTGAAACTGGAACAAATCCTGAAAAAAAGAGGCTTAGTTCATCCTGCCTGCTTCTTCGCTTTGCTTTTCACTGCTGTTGTGAGCATGCTTTTTCCAGAACAACCCCCCTCGCTCTGTGTATTTAAGATTTAAAGCACTGCAGACCCCCTGCATTTACATTACACTTCTCATTCAGTCAATTTCTCAGGGATCAACATGTCTAAGAGGTGCTTGGGAAAAGCATTCAAACATTATATTTAAAATGTTATAGTGTTTAAATTAAAATGTCATTTTCATGAACATTTGTAGATATGCATTTTTTGTAGTTTTTTTTTTTAATTTCCTGATCCCTGGTATTCAAGATTAGTTGTTAGTGTATTAATATCTTATTTTGTCAATTTTTGCACACTCATTTTAAACTAAGACCTTTGAGTATTTAAAACTCCGTCCCATGTTGTTTTCCAGTTTTCAGGAGGCCTGCAACGAATCTGCACCCATGAACTTGAACACCTCTCACCCATTGCATGTTTAAAAAGTAGTTGACTAATTTGAAAATCTGTTCAGCTACCTTTTTATCCTCTTTTTAAAACTGTTCACCCAAAATTGGAAATGTTGTCATTAACTGAGCCTCAAACTAAAAAATTTCAAAAGTATTTTTGTTTTAAAGAGCTCCTATTATGCATTAAAAAGGCAAAATTTGGGGGTCTCCAACAACAGGGTTTTTTTTTCTACAGTTTTTGTGGGCAGGGGTTTTAATTTTCCCGGGTCTGCACGCACAACAATTGGGTAGGGCTTGGGTTCCGTATTGATGTCAACACTGACACGGCTTAGGATTCCTTACCCCAACAATTTATTTATACCACTCTAAGTTGACTCTTTTATAGAGGAATCTTATATAGTTTTAAATCTATAATAAAAAAAAATCTTTTATAGTTTTAAACATGGCACACTTTCAGATTTAAGCCTTAGCAGGATATTTCGCTTCACTTAAAGCTGTGATACACACAGCATGGAAGGTCATTTTTAAAAACCCATAATAGGGGCTCTTTTATTCAAATAAATGGCCATGGTACATACATAAAAGTTAAATATCAGTATAAAAAACAGACATTACATACAACAAATGATAACATACCTTTCCATTTTTTGGTGAACTAATCATTTATACCCACAGATTTCCTTAAATCTGTGTAGCAAAATGCAAAAGTGTCCCATGATCAGATCCCATGAGGTGCTTATTATCAGTCAGTTAAATATGGTAGTTACATCAGTATGGCGTATGTATGATGAAATATTCTTCCGTGTGTGTTTTTGTTAATGCCCATGTTTGTAGAAAAAATCAGCTTGCTGCGATGCTGTTATATTGATTATCTGTGTGTGTGTGTTTGTGTGTATAGTTGCAGTGGCTGCTGGATAATTATGAGACGGCTGAAGGTGTGAGTCTGCCGCGGAGCTCTCTCTATAACCACTATCTGAGACACTGTCAGGAGCAAAAGCTGGATCCAGTTAATGCAGCCTCTTTTGGCAAACTCATCCGCTCTGTCTTCATGGGCCTTCGCACGCGCCGGCTTGGTACCAGGTCAGACTACACCCCACAGATACAGCAAATCTATCAAGGCAACTGCATTTGCAGCTTAGCTGCTTCAGAAAGAAAAACAAAATCCAGTCTGGAAAGCACAGCTGCACAGAGGAGAACACTGAGTGCAAGTGATTTGCAGCAGACACTCTATACTTAATACTTAAAGAATGATTGCACTGAAATAAATGATGTTCAGTCTCAAATTGTGGTGTGTTGTTGCTGGAATTAAAAAGTGATAACTCACTTTATTCTGTGTGTGTGTGTGTGTTTCAGGGGGAACTCAAAATACCATTATTATGGCATTCGTCTGAAGCCGGACTCGCCTCTCAACCGTATGCAGGAGGACACGCAGTACATGGCAATGAGACAAACACCTGTCCATCAGAAGCAGAGGTGAAACAAATATCTCCTCTCTCTCCTTCTCATACGCAGACATTCTTTATCTCATATCCAAGTCACGTCTTGGCCCTTGGCATCGGTGTCTTTTAATGCATGTCACAGTCAATTTTTCAGATTTCGTTAAAAGTCCTCGATTCAGACAGTCACTTAATCTTATTCCTGAAGTCCTCAATAATTCTCAGTGCAATCTAGTTTTCAGAATATACCCATAAATACCTAAATTTGACACATTCTGCCTCAAAGGTCAACTTGTGCACTATGCAAAGAATGAGCAGTTGTCATTAGACAGCTTTTCATTTTCAACTATTTAGGTTTTTTCTGCCATACTCAAAATCAAATAATCACAAGTCCAGGGATAAAATTTAGTTGTGTGTTTATAAACCTTAATGTTTCTTAGGTCTGCACAATATTGAAGAAATCTATAGGTATTTTTTTTTTATTTTGCTATATATTTATTCCAATTTAAATATAATAACTTAATAATAATTATTTAACAATAACTTAAATATCTCTGTGGACCCTTTTTACAAGCCTGTTATGACACCTTTAATGGTCATCAGCATCTTAAGTCCTTAAAAGTTTTTATATTTTGATTTTTAAAAGTATGAACATTTATTTGTGTCTATGTATGTATTATCATCTTTGCTTCAAATTACAAAAAATGAATTACTGCTCGTGCGAGGTGTTTCCAATGCAATATCAATGGGAAAGGAACGTAAATTTGACATTATTTTCTCCTCTGGCTGCGGTCATTAGTCTCGTGCTATTTTTTTTTTCCTTTTTCTGAAAGTCTTTATAACATCATTGTGGAGTTTTTATTTCATTATTTGAGCAAACAAGATTGTAAAAACAGTATTTGTTGTATTTTCCCATTCACTGCGCTCTAAGTTTTCTCAACTTTGACGATTTCCGCTACTGAGAAACTAGGAAATTTGAAAAGGGTCTATTTGGAAAGATTTTGTTAGATTGATTTGGGGTGATTCTGCAGGGAGTACATCTCCATAAAATCTAATTAACACTCTATAACCTTTTAGGGGTCCCCCGACACATTTTCGATGTGGTCTGAGCTGTTGCAGTGCATTTGTGTATTTGCATGTGTTGTGAGTTTTTTCATGCATAACAATCTATAAATACAATCAGTAAAAAGATACAATTGAAAAGGTGTTTTATCATTTTAAGAGTCTACCAGTATTCAAGTACAGTAACTGAATGTAAATAAAAATAATTCAATAAAATTAATAGCTGGTAAAGTTACAAATGGTACAATTTGTTATGCCTGTATGCTTTTAAAATCATTAAACAATCACAGGCATCAAAAAAACATGCAACGATGGATTATAATACAAACTCAGCATTACATATCCTTACGATGTGACTATTGCAAAGGATCACATTGCGATATCTATGCTGAAATGATTTATTGTGCAGCCCTAATGTCTATGATAGAGATCAAAATACTTTAAATAAACCTTGGAAAATTACTTGACTCATTGATATTTCAGTAGATGTCACTGGAGAACTACTGCAACATATTTGCTATTAAAAAAAATATATGTTTAATTCATTAATTCAAAAATTTGGACTCTTCATGAAACTTTTTATTTAAAAAAAATCTAATCATTTTTAAATGGCTTCCATGGCTTCCAGCAATTAATAAATTTTAGAATAAACAATTCTACATTTTTATTACATTTGTTTTGTCTGTGTAGACTTGTAGGAACATTGTGATCTAGTTTAAAAGGAAAAGAAAAAATTGATTGTGATCTGATCCAAAATTGTGCATCTTTTCTCACAACAAAGTTTAAATCTGCATTCAGACTGAAACTCCAGCATTCAGACTGAAACTCCAGCATGGGTTTTGCAGTCTTGATTAAACTAATAATTTGCTGAATTATTCAATAATTATGTAAAAGTTATTTATGCCACAGCTAGCATTTTATTGATTGAGCAGTGAAATGTTTGATTAAATTACCTTGACATCCTTTGTAAAATAAGTTACACTTTATTTTAAAGTGACATAGTTACATTATAGTGTAACTATTCATTTAACTACTGAGAAATATTAATTAATTATATGTGCTATATAGTTGGGGTTAGAATGAAGGTTGGATTTAGGGCTAGTTACTAGTCATTACGCATACTTCATTTTAATTACTATGGTAAGTACATGGAACATGTGTCACTACTTCACCTTAAAGTGTTACCAAGTAATATTTCTTGTGGCCTGTTTCCACTGACTGGTACAGTACAGTACGGTATGGGTCACCTTTATCAGGCTTGCGTTTACACTACCAAGGGTACCCTTTTGGTGGGCGTGGTGTAAGACAGAGTTTCGGTCGACGTCATTCTTGCTCGAACAAATGTCTACATTAAAGCTGTACAGGTTATTCACATATCATGAGAAGCACTTCTCACAAAACAGATGCTTTAAACATATAAATACTCATGTATAAATGTTCATTACTAACTTTTCTATGAACATAATTTGATTATAACTGCAGATCAATGACATAGCCCACTGTAACGTCTGGAGTTATATAAAACGATAAAATAAATGCAACACAGACTCTTACAGTCTCCGATATGTTACCAATCATAGATAAACTACACACAGCATACATTAAGTCGTTATTTAGGTTTAAAAACAACACACAGCTTCCAAGAGATGGGTTGTGGCTGGAAGGGCATCCGCTGCGTAAAAACATGCTGGATAAGTTGGCGGTTCATTCCGCTGTGGCGACCCTGGATGAATAAAGGGACTAAGCCGACAAGAAAATGAATGAACAACAAACAGCATAGCCCACAGTCAGAGCAAACCTCTCATTTGTGTCTGTAATCTTCACCAGCACATGTAGCCTCTGTTAGATAATAACTCTGTTATTCCCAGTTCAGAACAGTCCAAAAGGCGATGATAAACATGGCAGTTTGTTTATGATTTAGGTTGCTGAAACAATTTGCTCCTGTGTTTTGTTAATCTTCTCCTTTGTTTTTTCATGCTTCAATCTCGCATTTGTCCTTTTCTTTTCTTGTCTGAAACGATCAGATGTTGAAGCCTCTTGAAAAATTACACACACGTTATTATCATTAGCTCAAGGAGGTCGTCATATCAAATACAGACGCGATCGCGAGCTCTCTGGAGAAAGCGAAAATCGCTTGCACGTTTAGATGGCCTCGTAAAACAACAACAGAACACAGCAGATTTTGTTGTTCTTGGCTTTGCGGCTGTACATCAAGACAACGAAAAGGTGTGTTTTAGCTTGGGTCATCCATGGCTCATTATTATATGCATATAGTATTACGATGTAATGTCTCGACTGTGTATTTAAAACATGGCGGTTCCTTTGTTTTCATTCTGGCTAGCTCCACAAGCTCATGACATATCTCTGTAACCAATTAGCGTTCAGCTGCGCATGTAGCTCCATCTTTTGGTACCCTTTCTTGTGTTTGGTACCCTTTCGAAAGGGTGTCGAAAAAGTGGTACGGTACGGTTTGTGTACGGTTTCAGTGGAAACGGGCCATTAGTGATCAGTTCACCACTGGCTTGCTTGATTTGGGACTTTTAGAGCTGTGCATCGATAGATTTGCTCTTCAGTGTTTGGACTTTCAGCAGTAAACATGAATCGGTTCACACATAATTCTTCTAAATAACATTAATTCCTATTTCTTATTCCTAATTACTATTTCATGTGTCAGAGGCTCTTTTATTGTGTTGGAAATGCACAGAACAGCTTTATATTAGACATTGGCTCTGCATCCTGAAGGAAAATCTTTTTCTCTTTCTCTCTTAGTCATATCCTCTGTAATCCCAGTAGTGAATCCTGCATTTAGTCCTGCTGTCGGTATTTCCTGTGTCCAGGTTTAAGCCCTTTCACAAGATGGATGGGATGGGGGACAGTCTGAACAGTGGCTCCCAGCATTTGTCCAGCACCCCTGAGCAGAGCGTGGCGGCCCAGTGTCAGCATCACCAGCAGTACATTGGTAAACCTCCTCTTACAGTCACATCAAAACAGCTGAATGGATGCACAATCACCTTCAGCTCTAAAACTGTGTGTGTGTGTGTCTGTGTGTGTTTTGGCAGATGTGTCTCATGTCCTTCCTCCCTTCCCTTCTCTTGATCTGGGCTCCTGTCCTCTGCCGGAGTCCATCAGCATGACTGATGTGAAAAAACTACAGAGCAGCTACAGGATTCACTGTGAGGTAAATTGTAGTTGTAGGATTTTTTTTGTAAATGTAGCCTTCCTAATTACGAGTGCTCCCTGTGGAAGGAAGAGCTTTACAATGTCTTTAGAAGGAAGAAACTCTTTTAAGGAAATTATTAAAGCACACTGGCGGAATTAAGCTTCCTCATGCTGGAAGACATTACATTCCATGTTATTCTATGCCTATTACAATTTTTGAAATGTATCTTTTCAAAATAAATATCAAAGTAAGAATAAATAAAGCATCAAACCAGGGATTCTCAACCGGTGGGCCTCAGCGATCCTGCAGGTGGGCCAAGTGATAGCTTATAAGTAACTCTCAATATTCTACTATAATTTTGGAATTTCATTAATAAATATGCTATATTAAAATGATCAAAGCAATGCACTTTCTCCTGATTGCTTCAAACTTGGTGCAAAAACAACCTCATGATTGCGTCTGCAACTAGTACACGATGGCAGTGCATTCAAAACTATGTGTGAAGTGAAAGTCCCTCTTTGTGTATTTTTGTGTGAACATATGTGAATATACCTGCATAGTTGTCCAAATTAATATCCTGTGAGTGTTTTATAAAGGATGTGCAACCATACAGGAGAATCTAATTAGACTAATGGTGTTTTTGCAATAGAATGTAAACTAAACTTGCATATAAGCTTCAGATGTGCTCACGGTTTCTGTCAGCGATCTCCCAATAATATCCAGCTCCAAACCCAACAGTCATCAGATCGATGCGTTTCAACAGATTTAGGGTGTGTTACTCTATTTACTATATATATATTTAGTAAATAGTTGCATATATAGTAAATAAGTGCTCTTATATATATAATACAATATATGTATATATATATATATATATATATATATATATATATCTTATATATAATATATGTATATATATATAAGTGCTTTTAAAAATATAGAAGTCTCCATTCTTTCTGTGAATGTGTTACCTTTTGTAGATAAGGAGTTGCTTCCTTTCATGAATAATAAATACTTAATTTTGTGTGTGCTGGAAAGGGAGTGTTTGAAGATTAGATTTCTTCTCTGTGATCTCATTACAAAAAGGCTTTGCTTCATCACACTCCATTTTTAAAAATGATTTTAAATAGCAGGAATTAAACTATTATTGTCTGTTTATAGTCTTAAACCCTGGGGGAATTGAAACAACCTCTTTAAGTTTTACTTTTAGTTTTGGTGTGTTTAATTTGAGAATAAAGGGCACTTGATTTATGTTTACAGCTGGCAATGAGGGAACGTGCAAAGATAAAAAAGTCAGTTTCTTTCATATTTTTCTTCCCTCTCATTTTTTTCCCCTTGCTGACAGAGTTTCTACTTTGACATGTTCTTGAGTTTTACTTTTTCTGAACACAGCTGGTACCTGTTACAGTGTAGCACAATATTCTGACAGATTCACTCAAGCCATCTTCATTTCATATCTCTCACTTATAGTGTCATTTCTGCTATGTTAAAACCTCTCAGTCCCTGCTCATCCACTGCACAGCTTTGTGTTCTAGGGCTTCTTTCATCCCTCAGACTAGGAGTTTTCTGTCTTCCCAATTAACCTTTTATCCAGCAGGACCTTTGCTGTCCGTCTGTGCACATCTGTAGGTCCTGACGTGCTCCTTGCTACTGACAAATCAGTTCATTTTTTGGTAGTGAAGCATAGAAGGAAAGTGTGTGATTTCTGCAGCATGAAACTGAAGTATTGACTTAAGAACTAATTGTGAATTCTGAATACATTCAATTGCTTTATAATATACAGTAGCCAGGTTTACAATTACAGTCACAAGGAGTCAAAACATATTTGATGCTGTTCGGACAGCTGTTTATTAAAATGGTTGCATTTATGTTTGGCCATATAAATGTGTTCTGCAAAACAGATATAAGTCGGAACTTTAATTCTTATGCTGTATGCAAATTTACAAATAACCTGAAGATTTATGCAGAATAATTTTGAGAGTATTATAGCTAAAAACTTAAAGTCCCCACGAATCGGATTCTGCGACTGTTATTTTTTTCGAATTGTGACGAAGTTCCTAGAGAAACAGAATATTAAATGACAAAACAGTGGGCGTGGCTTGATTTTTCCACTGCAAGGTAAATGGATATGGTAAAATAGGCATTTCATTCAGAAAGATTGGGAAAAGGGTTAGGAAAGAGTAACCTATCAGACTTCTCCTTCTCACTAGTTCTGTTTGTTGTCAAAACTGACAGTTAAAGCAGCTTGGTTAAATATCCACTAAACTACAAATCTAGCAATGTGACCTAACAAAATCATATGATTAGTTTTGATTTCTTGGGGACTTTAATATATGACATAAATGTAATACCTTTTTAACTTTTATTTAATGTTTACAATGGAAATCCAATTGATACACTTAATTGGCAGACAAAGCAAGCAACTTGTATATCTACTAAAAGAAAGAAAATATCACAAATTGTAATGTAAGTAAATCATATGAACATTTTCATATTTGTAAATAATACAACTGAACCTAATTTCAAAACTGAAAAAATGAAATTGTACACACATTTACACAAGTAAATAAATAGACTAAGGGCCTACTCACACTATGCTAGACGAACCGTGCCCAGGCCCGTTTCCGAGTGCTCTGAAATGGGCTCAGGCATGGTTCACTTGGCCTGCCCTGCCCGGTTGGAAGATGTGTGCCTAAGCATGGTACACTTCGGCTTTGGCACGGTACGCTTGTGTATAAATGCAAAACGCGCCCGAATCTGAAAACGAGATGTGACTTTTAGGGGCCGTTTCATATGGATTAATTATTAATTCTTACTGTTCAGTGAACACAAACTGTCGTAGATTTTTAAAGTCGCAAACCTCTCACTGCACGAAAGCTGCGCACCTTCAGCAAACCTCCTAATTCCTGCAGCATGAGGACTTTATGAATGTTTATGAGTGTCAAAAGTGGCTGATCTGTTCGACGAAATATCTGACATAAGCGAAATAACTAAAGAAATCTTCTCTGTCGTATGACGTAAGCGTGTCCAGGCCTGAATGCAATGTGTGATTGCGGGGGAGACTGGAGTGGGGACAAGTGTGCTTTGACCCGGTTCAAGGCAACTGTACATAGTGTGAGTACGCCCTTAATGATATTGTAAAAGTCTGGAAATCTGCGTAGTTCTATGTGCACAGATTTTTTTTGAGGGCCTAGCTATAAGTAATGTTTACATGACTTCAGCAGAACACTTTATTAGGTACATCTTACTAGAACCAGGGTGTCTTAATCCTTTGTAGCATAGATTCAACAAGGTACTGGAAATATTCCTTAGAGATTTTGGCATGAGAGCATCATGCAGTTGCTGCAGATTTGTCAGCTGCACTTTCATGATGCGAATCTTTCATTCCACCACATCCTAAAGGTGCTCTATTGGATTGAGATCTGGTAATTGTTGAGTACAGTAAACCTGAAATGATTCTCGCTTTATGACATGGCGCATTACTCTGCTGGAAGTAGCCATCTGAAGATAGGTAGACTGTGGTCATAAAGAGATGGACATGGTCAGCAACAATACTCAGGTAGGCTGTGTTGTTGACACAATGCTCAATTGGTACTAATGGGCCCAAAGTGTGCCAAGAAAATATCCCCTACACCATCATACAACCATCAGCAGCCTGAACCATTGATACAAGGCAATATGGATCCATGCTTTCATGTTGTTGAATGTCGCAACACAAACCAAGACTCATTAGACCAGGCAACATTTTTTCAATCTTCTATTGTCCAGTTTTGGTGAGCCTGTGCAAATTGTAGCTTCAGTTTCTTGTTTTTACGTTTCTTTCCTGTTCTGATGCTCGGTTTGAACTGCAGCAGATTGTCTTTACCATGTATACATGGCTTAAATGCATTGAGTTGCTGCCATATTGGCTGATTAGAAATGTGTGTTAAGGCGCAGTTGGATAGGTGAACGTAATAAAGTGGCCGGTAAGTGTATATTATCATTCATTCACAAATAAATCTCTTAATGACAAAATTAGCTATGTGGATTCTAATAGATCACAAAACTTGTTTACGAGTTTTAATATATATATTTGTAATGGTTTTATTTTCTTTATGTTCTTAATTTTTTGTATAATTTTTTCCGCAATTCAATTGAATAGTCTTGTAAAAAAAAAGGCAGTCTTTGGTTCAGACTTTTAGTATGACCTTTGCTTAAAATTGTCTCTCTTTTTTTTTTTTTGGAGATTAAAAACTTGTTTCTATGTCAGGTCAACATTAAAATTCAGATAACTGAGTAATCCACGTATAAAGTAAGGACTCCTGGTGTTTTCACGATCTAATAGCTATTGACCAGGTGTAAGTATGTTCTAATACACATTTATGTGCAGCTGGATGAGATTTCATGGCAGATGGGTCTAAAAATAGAAACAAAGCTAACACTAAAACATTCTGTCACTCCTCATTTGTTGCTCTAGCTAAAAAGTTTCCAGTGGTTGTCATGCAATCAAAAAGAGAGGAAGTTATGAAACTGATCAACATATCTTTTTATAGTCATTTAGCAAATGCTTTTATTCAAAGCGACAAGCAAGTAAGGATCATTTCTATAGTAATTTGACTAAAATAGCTCAAAAATGTCAACGTATGATCTCCAAACTGATAAGTAACGTTAGCTATACTGCTGAAACTCTTCAGCTCTGTGTTCTTCCTGAACTATGAAAAGTCTGTTTCATAAACTCATAAGTGAGATACTGTTTAAAAACCACAGACTAGTGCTGTAGATGCAGGTTTAAAGTGCTTAATGCTTTCCCCTCTGTTCACGAAGGTACCAAAGCTTGTTTGTCCGGGAAGGAGAATTTTCTCTTTTTTTTGTTTTGGAGTGCTGTTTGAACTGTTGCTGGGGAAACAGTAAACAAGGTTGCCATAGTGACCTGGCTGTGCAAGCCAAAACATAGCATGTGACTGGCGGGGAGGGCGAGGAGGAAGGGGGGCTGTGTAACTGGAGACAGTAGTGTGTGTGTGTGTGTGTGTGTGTGTGTGTGTGTGTGTGTCTTCATCGAGGAGGAGAATCTGAGACAAACACACACTCTCAGTTCTGCTCCGCACTAAAGCAGCAACACCTACTTTTGTTTTCACATGTCAGTTTGCTGAAATGCCATCCTCACCACACACACTAAAACGTCTTTTTTGGACTTACGGAGAGACACTAAAGGTTTTCATGCACCTGTCGGTACACAAAATGTTTGTTTTTTTTTCATAGCCAAGAAAAAAAGACATCTACAATACACTTTTAAAAGGATAGTTCACCCCAAATAAACACTTCCTCACCTCAAACTAGTTTCTTTCTTCTGTTGAACACAAACAAGACATTCTGTAGAATGTTGGAGACCAGCAGTCATGCAGCAGTCATAGCAGGGACATAAATCATAGTGGAAGTCAATGGCTGTTGCTTTCCAACATTCTTCAGATTATCTTTTTTTCTTCTGTTGAACACAAAAGAAGTCAAACAGGTTTTGAACAAGTGAAGAGAGAGTAAATGATGACACAATTTTCAGTTTTAAGAAATCTGTCCCTTTAAGTATGTCTTTGGTTGCACTTAATCATATTAAGTAATAATACATCTTTTAAGTCATACATTTTTTTTCCTGCACTGAGCCAGAAATCTCTACTTCTACTAAATCTTCATCAACTTATTGTGTTTTTTTTCATATTTGTATTCTAAAGGTTTTAAAATTGGCATATGTTCATCCGAAATGTGGCTATTTTTGTATTTTGTGCTACAATATGCATCAATTATGACTGTTCTTATTATTTTTTTTTTTAAGTTCTGGTTAAAATTTATTCCCAAAACCCCTCTGTAAAAACCTTTGACTCAATTATGTAATAATAATAATTTTTTTTTTTTTTAACAACGCAGCACTAAAAGATACATCAGTAATCAAGTAATAAGAATTCAGATGGATACTGAAAAGATTAGTTAGAGAGAAAAGAAAAAAAAATAGAAAAAGACATTTGCACAGTAATTATATATCTATATCTTGGGCTGCACAGTGGGGCAGTGGGTAGCACGTTCGCCTCACAGCAAGAAGGTTGCTGGTCGAGCCTTGGCTGGGTCAGTTGGTGTTTCTGTGTGGAGTTTGCATGTTCTCTCCGTGTTCACGTGGGTTTACTCCGGGTGTTCCAGTTTTCCCCACAAGTCCAAAGACATGCGCTACAAGTGAATTGGGTAGGCTAAATTGGCCATAGTGTATGTGTGTGAATGAGTGTTTGTGAATGTTTTTCAATGATGGGTTGCGGCTGGAAGGGCATCCGCTGTGTAAAAAACATATGCTGAATAAGTTGGCGGTTCACTCCGCTGTGGCAACCTCGGATTAATGAAGGGACTAAGCAAAAAAAAAATTAAATGAATGAAAATATATTGCGTTGGAGTTTAAAAAAAAGAAAAAAGAAAAAATGAGGGGTGTGTGGGTTGAGATGGTTGGGAGATGTTTGATATACTTATGTATATAATGTGGCTGTTTACTATATATTTTCATCTGGAGTCTACGGCAATAAGAACTTCATTTTTTTTTTCTTATCCATTGATCATACGTAAGTGGGTCTGATCTGAGTCAGTTAATCATAATGAATTTTAGTAAAAACAACATTTTGAATGTGATTTTGTTCAAAGTTTAGTGAATGTGCTGGACATTTATACAGATGAGTTTAAACATGCAGTTGAAGTCAGAATTATTAGCCCCCCTGTTTATTTTTTTCCAAATTTCTGTTTAACAGAGAGAGGACTTTTTCCACTCATTTCTAAACATAATAGTTTTAATTACTCGTTTCTAATAACTGATTTATTTTATGATGAAAGTAAATATTTCATTTGATATTTTTCAAGACACTTCTATACAGCATAAAGAGACATTTAAAGACTTAACTTGGTTAATTAGGTTAACTTTGCAGGTCAGGGTAATTAGGCAAGTTATTGTATAACGATGGTTTGTTCTTATGGAAAAAATAGCTTAAAGGGGCTAATGATTTTGACCTTAAAATAGTTTTAAGAAAATTAAAAACTGCTTTTATTCTAGCCGAAATAAAACAAATAAGACAATATTATCAGACATACTGTGAGTTTCCTTGCTCTGTTAAACATCATTTGGGAAATATTTAAAAAGAAAAAGGGGGGTAATAATTCTGACTTCAACTATATAGATCATTTAAAAAAACTTTTAATACAAAAATAATTTGAACATATTGTCCTGCAGTCTGTCACCTTAAACAGAACCTGAAATGAAGTTGAATTTATATATGTGGCTAGTGTTGTGCAACCATTTAGGCAGTTTCTATAAGAAGGTGGGTTGCTTTGAAGATGCTGCTTCAGAATGAGGAGCGAATGAGTTTTGATGGATGGCCGTATTATGAGTGGGCCAAATTCAAGATGAGCCATCAGGAAAGACAAAAGACACTTCAAATAATGGAGGAACACTCATCTCTCACACTCTATATTCATGAGATCTTCCTACAGCCCCCCAAAACACAGCTTTTGTTCCGGAATCATTTGTAATTTTGTTGTTATTGTGTTATCAGGAGAAACATTTTTCCTGTTTAAATGATTTTAATGCACACAAGAAACTTTGTTATAATAAACCTGATTTCTCTCCTTTAGGCTACTCTGGATGTTGTGATGAACCTGCAATTTCATCTCATAGAGAAGCTGTGGCAGACCTTTTGGCATTCAACAGCGCCCTCTAGTGACGGAGCCACTACCATACCTAACAGGTGCCATGTCTATACAGTTCATAGTTAAAGTAAAAAGGAACGCAACAATTAAAAAACAAAACTCACGCTCATGGAAAACCTGAAAGCATCTAGGATTTTTTTTAAATAATTTGGTGATCTTAGAAAATAATCAACATTTTAAAATATCATTTTTTTTGGTATGATCTGCTATTAAATATAAGCTACTGTAATGTTCCAAAGTTCAAGGTCATTGATATTGCCAATGTTGCATTTGTTATATTATAGTAATACATATATTATATTATAATATTTTATATTATATTATATTACATTATATTATATTACGTTATATTATATTATGTTATATTATGTTATATTATATTATATGTAAAGCTGTAAAAATATTATTACAACGTAAAATAAAAATTACCAAAAACAATCTAAAAACCAAAAACACTGTCAAAACACACCAGTGCTCTATTTACTTATCTCTTGCTGTAAAAACAACGACAAATCATTTAGTTGAAAACATTTGTGTAGCCTAATCAGCAGCTTTGTTCCCACAAAATGGATTCTTTGAGGATAAAAAGGCATTTATTTGAAATGAAAATCTTTTTAAATATTTAAATTAGCTTGTCACATCTGATCAATTTTAATGTGTTTCCTTGCTGAATAAAGTATTAAATTCTTTATATTGCATTTTCTGAGTGAAACTTTGAGAGCTTCTTAATTGTGTTTAATTTATTTTTGTTATTTGTTTGTGGAGTACATTAATAAATATGCACTTTGGTCTTGTACTTTAATCTAGTTCATTTAAAATCTATATCGTAAAAATGCATCTTCATATGCTTTTATTTAAAATATAACGAATACAATATATAACTAATATAACAAATGAAGTTTTTATTTTTTATTTATCTTACTGTTATCTCATTTCTTGATGCAACCATTACTCTGGATTTGTGTCTGAACAAATGTTGGTGTGTATTGTTCAGCGAGGAGGATGTGGAGGACATCAGAGGATTCCCCAGAGACAAGCTGATCACTCTGTGTAAATATGAGCCAATTAAACAGTGGATGAGGAGCTGTGATCACATCCTGTATCAGGCACTGGTGGAGATCCTTATCCCTGATGTGCTGCGGCCTGTTCCCAGTTAGTATTTTCTCTTGTACACACACGCTGACATGAGCTGTTTGACTGCATGACTGATGGGAAATGTGATTTTGCAGGCACCCTCACTCAAGCCATCAGAAACTTCGCTAAGAGTCTAGAGGGCTGGTTGACCTCAGCCATGACTAACTTCCCTCCGGAGATCATCAGCACTAAGGTAAGTGTGCATGTGTGTGTGTGTGTGTGCGTGTGCGTGTGTGTTTGTGTGTGTGCGCGTACTGTTTTTTGAAATCACTTAAATCATGCTCAGTCAGACACTTTTAAGAAAATAAATAAGGTAAAAAATATGTATTATGCTCTGTTATTTTATTATGCAAACTTATTTTATGATGCTTATCTGTTTATTATATTTTTTATTATATTATTACTGATTTAAAATTTAACATTTATAATCTTATGAATGACACTTAAAAATACAAGTGTCTTAAAGAGATACGATCAAAGTTTGTTTTTATTATTATCATTAGTGTTGGGTCGACAAACAATGCCATCATCAATCACAGATGGCCTATAGACATCATGATGCAAAACCGGCAATGCGATCCTCCGCCTCGCCCACATCGCAGCAGCAACCCGCTTGCGACAAATACACACTTAGGCCCCGTTTACACTAATACGTCTTCAATTTAAAATTGGCATTGTAGAATGAAAATGTTTACGGAGAACAAACATTTACGTCCACACTGGCTTTTCACCTAGAAATTCTGAAAAGCCCCCCCTCCTTACTATACCGCTGAAAACGCACATCATGTGACCACATACTCACACACAAACACATACACACACTATGTCATGCACTGCAGCGTATGTGTGCGTCTGAGCTCCAGCAGTCAGCGAGTGCTTTGAGCACAAACCCCAGAAAGCAGTGCACGTCGGACAGTTTATTAAGGATGTACCACTGGATCGAGTCTCACTATAGTTGTTAAATGTGATATTTAATTTTTCTTGTCTCAATCTAACGATTCTTTGGTCTTTTGAATCCATCAGGTAACGTGTCACAGCATCAGTACATTGCTTCAATCTTTCGCTTATACGCTTGTACTCTGTAATTTTAGCGAAAACCTTAGATACTGTTGGTTTGTTTCTGTTGGTTGTGCATCTTTTTTATCAACCAAGTTTGTCGACGTGATTATAACGACACAGAACACTCTGCCTATTCATGCCAGAGTCCTGTGGAAAAAGTAATTGATAGGTGGTAATTTGTGTGTAACTTTATTTACTTATGATTTGGTCATGGGTAAAACTAAGACCATGCGGGTCAGGTAGTTGGAACAGTAGGCTACTAATTATTCATTTGTTATCAATTAATTAATTAATTAATTATTCATAATAATTAATTCAACTCCGCCTACAATGACGATGCCATCATCTATCGCGATGTTTCACATTAGACATTGTACAATGCCAAATTGGTCGACATCGCCCAACCCTAATTACCATTATTATTATTAGGATTATTATTTTTTATGATTTTTTTAATTAGGGCAACTGCAAGTGATTCTGTATCTAAATGTTTAGATCCATAAGATTGTTTTTTAAATGATTTTGCAAAAAAATATATAATTATAATAATTTAATTGTAATAATAATAATAAAATATTATTTCAGATGAAATTTAACATTTTACACAGTATTCCCAATATTACATGATCTTTGAGAATTCATTATAAGATGCTGATATGGAGCTTAAGAAATTGCTATTGCAAATAAGTTTAAATCAGTTATATATATATTTTTTACATAAATCTTATATTTTAAACCATGTATAGAACGTGCAAAAAATATTTTTATTAGAAATATTTTGTAATGTGTGTGTGTTTGTGTGTATGTTTACAGTCTGTGTTTGTGTGTGTTTATACAGTGCTTAGCATATATAAGTACACCGTCACAAATCTCTCTTTTAAATTCATATTTTAATAGCTATAAAATATTATATTTGCACATATACATTAGATTAGTCAGTACTGAAGCCAAATCTGGAGCTTATTTAACAAAATAACTGACGATAATGGTAAAAAAATAGTACACCCAAATTTATGTTATAGAAAAATATTAAATACAAATTTGAAAAATAAAAAGAAGTTAAATTTAAAGTTGAATTTAATTGTATTATCTTTCAATTTCTAAAGATGTTTGGTGACTAAAATTTTATTTTAATAAATATATCTGTTTAATAAATCTGATTTGTTTAAATGCACTAAAAATACATTGCCTATATTCACTGAGAAGTGGATAAAATAGTCATTTTCAAAATGGGGTGTACTCAACTATGCTGAGCACTGTACATATCTATATATAGTGTATATGTGTGTATGATGTGTGCGTGTGTAACTGTTGTTTCATTGACTTCATGTAGGGTATATTTACACCTAATATAAATGAATGGTTTTGTTATAAAACATTTAGTATGATCACTTATTATTTTATCATGGACAGTTCAAAATGAGCATGTTGTTTAATTTTAACACATTTGTTGTACTGAGAGATGATTGAACATTATTTAAAAAAAAAATTAAACCTTACCTTGACTTCACTGCGCTAATGTGAAATCACACCTTTAAATGAAATTTGATGCAGACTGTCTTTAAATCATTTGAGTGTGTGCTGTAAAAGTGCTGCAGTGTTTGAGCAGTGTGTTACTGTGCTCTGTTCAGGCTGCAGTAGTGAGTGCATTTGCACAGACCCTGCGTCGCTACACCTCTCTCAATCACCTGGCTCAGGCAGCGCGGGCCGTCCTGCAGAACACCTCCCAGATCAATCAGATGCTCAGCGACCTCAACAGAGTAGACTTTGCCAACGTGCAGGTCTGTGGCTCTCATCACTCTTATTCTCTGGCTCATGTTCATCCAGCTTTTACTAATCCAGCTTCTACTGATTTTCAAAATATAAATTGCATTTCCGGTTTGGGGATCACTTCAAAAAAATAGGTTGTGCTATGAATAATCCATATACAGATAAAAACGTCTTTCGTCTATATTAATCCATCATGAAAATAGTTGGTGTTTTAAGGTGGCATTACAAATCACAAATAGGAATGCGTTTTTTTTTTTTTTTTTGATAGTGTTCATTAACAAGCGTCTATTTTGTGATATTATTATTATTATAAGGTGTAGCTTTAACCCAGTAAATCAGACTTGTTAAATGGATAGTTGCCCCAAAACTGAAAAGTCTGCCATTATTTAACGTCCCTTTACTTGTTCAAAACATGGTTGACTTTCTTTCTTCTGCTGAAGGAAGATATTTTAGAGAGAGCTGAAAAACTGTAACCATTGACTTCTATAGAATAAGTTTTTCCTAGTATGGATTTCAATGGTTACAGGTTTCCAACATTCGCGAAAATATCTTCTTTTGTGTTCAACAGAATAATGAAACTCATAAAGATTGGGAACCACTTGAAGGAGAGTAAATAGTATTACATTAAAATCCCTGGCATCTGGCTGAGACCAAGACTTTTTATTATGTTTGGCCAGCTAAAGCTAGCTAGTTAAAATCAGATGCCATGCGATTTACTTCTATGAGGGGGACGTAATTAGAGCTGTAAAGCTTAACTTTTCATTTTAAGTGAAAAATCAAATCTGTCGGAGAGGTCCATTAGATAGGTACAGAAAAAGTCCACAGGGGGGGGTGATCACCAGAATGGGGAAAACTCAGAATAAAATGAGAAAATATGATACATTTGTGTTTTGGAATATGGAAAAACTGTATCTGATTGGGCAGTTAAAAGATTTAACATGGGCCATCACCATACTGGTAGAATTGGACTTCCAGAAGGGGTGTGTAATTAGAGCTGTAAAGCTTAACTTTTTGACTTTAAGTAAAACATCGAATCTGTTGGAGACGTCCAATAGATTAATAGGTAATTCCCCAGAAAATCCCAGAGTAAAATGAGAAAATATGATACTCCAGTGTTTCAGAATATGGAAAAACGCTGTGTCTTTAGGCGGTTTTCATCTGTTTTTATAACATTTATTTCCATTTTATTTATACTTGTGTCTTTTATTTCTGTTTATGTCAAGCATTCTGAATTGTCACTGTGTATGAAATGTGCTATATAAATATACTTGCCTTGCTTTGTCTTACATTTTCACTTTTTGGTGAACTATCAAATTAATGCTTTATTTACTAAGTGGAACTAACTTAATATTTTTGAACTTGACTTGAATTTTTCTGTGCAAGTGTAACACAGAAAGCCCCAAATAAATCTCATTTCTAATTGGACAGACTATTTCCAATTCTGGGGGAAGGGAAGCACTCTGGTAGACAATTAAGTTACTGTAGGCTCAATCAAAACATTATCTTATTAGCAAGGCATATCAGCATCATTGTTCGATCAAAAAAATTATGAGTTTTTATGGGGGTTAACAATATTGACATTAGAATTTTTTTTGCATTTTATTCTTAACTTTTTACAGGCAAACTTAAAAAAAGGAAGTGAAAAATGTGTTGTGTAAAATGTCCTCGGTTTAATTAACATCTCTTGGGAAATATTTGAGAAAAAAAAACAAGGACCTTTAAATTAATTATCCTCGTGTGAAATTTTGTCTTTACCTGAATGTCTGTAATATTGCTGCAGAAAGTCTGTAGTTTAGGAGTTTAAGAATATTCTCATTTGAGGATGCTTTACTGAAAGTAACTCATTCATTCTGTTAAATTGCCTTTTAATATGTCATGGATTAACTGTGAGGATAATAATGTCACATCATACCCTCTTCTTAACATTCCACCCTTATTTACAGTCTAGAAGTTACTCTCCTTCCCTGATTCTTTGTGTAAATGATGAAATGTGTATAAGGTGTGTGTTGTTTCTTTGCTCACAATGCGTGTGTGTGTTTGTCACAGGAGCAGGCGTCCTGGGTCTGCCAGTGTGATGAGTCTGTTGTTCAGCGTTTAGAGCTGGACTTTAAGGCGACCCTGCAGCAGCAAAGCTCTCTGGATCAATGGGCCGCATGGCTGGATAACGTCGTCAATCAGGTGCTCAAACCCTATGATGGCAGTCTGAGCTTCCCTCGTGCCGCACGCCAGTTTCTGCTCAAGTGGTCCTTCTACAGGTACGAGACCCCTAAAAAATACTTTCACTGCATTACTAGGCCTCTTAAAGTCTTTTTGTTGAACTTTAGCAGTTTGTGGATGATTTGACCAAATAGGACATCATTGTTTATTAACAACTTTGTTGATCCTTGAACAACATTCCAATCAAGGGATACGTGTACAGTTTATGTTAAGTTTAGGCTTACGGTTATGCACTTCTACATGATTGTTTTCCAACTATTATTCCCCTCTACTTTGGGAATAATTTACAGTTATGGTTGGGTTTAGGGGTAGAGAATAGGTATGGATTATATTTTTTAACAAAAATGATGCTCCAGGATCAACATTGATGTTAATTGAGGATCACATTGTACTTGGCAAAATCATGACGTGCTATAAGGTCTGTACAAAGTTCTAAAGGGGACCTATTATGCCCCTTTTTATAAGATGTAAAATAAGTCTTTGATGTCCGTAGATTGGGTATGTGAATTTTCAGCTGAAAACACCCCACAAACGATGTGTTAAAACTCTTTGAAACTGCCCTATTTAAGCTTTGCTTCTTATAGTGCTATTTTGGTGACTGTCGCTTTAAATTCAAATTAGACTGTGCTCTTTTCAAAAGGGGTGGAGCAACAAATGCCTGTGTGTCAGCATAGTGGCAGATTCAATGTCCTGCTTACGAGGGCGAGATCATCACTAATGGCTGGGACTCAACTATAGTATTAATAGCTGGTTATATTCACAGGCTGTTGAAACACAACTATGTTTAAACCCCTTAACGTGATTTCTGCCTAAAGCTCCTCTTTAAAGACGAATGTACACAGCTAAGTTGTTATCCCTTAAAAGAAGCAATCTATTTTAGAACTGCCTGAGCAATCATCAGTGTGTAATGTCAGTCTAAAGAGCAGTGAAAGAATGAGATCCTAGTCTACAAGACAAATTCACTATGGGGTCCCTCTGGATTTTTTGATTGTATTTTATAATCAAAATACAAATATGCCTAAAACTTAGCTAAGGGAGAAAAAAAGATGAGTGCGTTTACACTAATGCGTTTACATTTTAAAAATGGCTTTTCAGAATGAAAACACTCCTTGTCCAGACTGCCGTTTTTATTTTGCTTGAGAAAACACTCAACAGCCTGAATGCTCACTGGGTATGCGTATATTTTGCTGGCATCCGTTCTGGCTGTCTACTGGTTGTGTAGTGAGTGGTCTTATGATAGAGGTTTGATGAAACCAGGCATCATTACTCAATAGTTCAGAAGAGCGGTCAGAGTTGTGGATAGCCACGGCTCTGTTTTCAAAAATCGGTGTTTCAGTTGGTCTGCACTAAAACGAAACATCAGTGTTTCCAAACTAAAACAGGCTTTTCAGCGTTTTCAAAATGCTCCCTTTTGCCCAATTAGCCCATTGGGCTAATCAACTAGTAGAACTTTTTTTAACCATTAGATTCAGACTTGAATCAATATGGTAATACTGAGGCCATCATTACTGTCCTACAGTTTCTAAAGATGTCAAGGATTAAGAAAGATTTTCGAGATGAAGTTCATTTAAGGTAAATACATTTTGTTTTTAACATTTGCTGTAATGTACTGAGCTATAGACCAATCAGAGAACAGCATACTCTCAGAAGGGATGGTGTTTGTAAAGTACAAATCTTTGAGAAGCAGCAAAACGTGTTTTGAAATTTTTTTTTTCTTTTTTCGTTTCTTTCTATAGCTTTAAAGGTATCATTGGGGAACAAATTGAGAGTGTAACACTGGTGCTTTACCTGCCAGTTTTCTAACGGCTGATCTTGAGAAGAGAGTTGTTGAATGCAGCACACACACTGTACCTGCTGTTGTGTTGAATGTGTCTCTGTCATGTGATTTACAGCTCTATGGTGATCAGAGATCTGACTCTGCGCTCGGCCGCCAGTTTCGGCTCCTTCCACCTCATCCGTCTGCTCTATGATGAGTACATGTTTTATTTGGTGGAACACCGTGTGGCTCAGGCAACCGGAGAGACTCCAATTGCTGTCATGGGGGAGGTGAGGAGATCTGCACATTTCACACACATTCAGCTTACTGCATGCCGGCGCTCTAGCTTCAGTTTGTCTACATATTAATTTTGTTTTTAAAATATGAATATACCTGTTGTGTGTCTAAACAATAATATTATTATATTTATATTGTGTAGTATTTCATCTGTTCGTCTGTCTATTGATTGTAGTAACTAAATTATCTTTACAGCTGTAAAATATCAATGAAATGTAAATAATAATGTAGTAAATACATGTCTATATACAGTTAAAGTCAACATGACTAGCCCCTCTGTGAAATTTTAGTCAATTTAAAAATATTTGCAAAGTGCTGTAAATTGGAGAGCTTTTTTTAAACACGTTTAAACATCATTTTTGTTTATTTGTTTGTTTTTACCATAAAGACAGCTTATAATATAATATTATATTATATTAGTTATTTTGCAAGATGTTATTATTCAGCTGAAAGTGAAATGTAAAGGCTTAACTAAGTTCTATTAGGCAGCTCATTGGACATCAGTAGTTGTTCTGTAACTATTTGAAGAAAAAAAATTATTTTAGGTAGACTAATACTGATCTTAAAGATTGTTTAAAAAAGATTGATAACATATACAGTTGAAGTCAGAATTATTAGCCTCCCTTTGTTTTTTTATTTTTTAAATGTTTCCTAAATTATGTTAAACAGAGCAAGGACATTTTCACAGTATGTCTGGTAATATTTTTTTCTTCTGCGGAAAGTCTTATTTGTATTATTTTAGCTAGAATAAAAGAAGTTTTTATTTTTTTTATAAACTATTTTAAGGTCAAAATTATTAGCCCCTTAAAGCTATTTTCCCCGTAAAAACAAACCATCATTATACAATAACTTGCCTAATTACCCTAACCTGCCTAGTTAACCTAATTAACCTAGTTACGCCTTTAAATGCCACTTTAAGCTGTATAGAAGTGTCTTGGAAAATGTCTAGTCAAATATTATTTACTCTCATCATGACAAAGAAAAAATAAATCACTTATTAGATATAATATAACTATTATATTTAGAAATGTGTTGAAAAAATCTTCTATAAATATATATTAATGTTTTTCTGTTTATTTTCAGTTCAGTGACCTCAGTTCATTAATGCCATCCCTCAAGGAGCAAGGTAACCCATTCAAACCCCAGCCTAAAATATTGCATTGATTTTGAAGTCTCGTCTTCTCTTCTATTAAACCTCTCTCTCTGTTTTCCCGCATAGACACTTCATTCTCAGACGACATGACCAGCGATGGAGACATGTCGAGGATGAGCGAGAGAAGCCTGACTGAACCAGCGGTAAAGAGAGAAAGAATCGAGATCCCTCACTCCCTGCAGGAGATCTAACAGACACAAACGTCATCTCCGTCTTTAGAGTAGGGTCAGCGTGTGTCTCCTTTAGGTTTTCTGCGACTGTGAAGCAAGAATGTGCTGGTTTGGTGGCGTGTGGTTTATTTTTCATGTGCCATAGTCTTCTTTCAGTGCCTTAGATGAGAAAAGAAACACTAGAGCTTTCTCTTTGACCTTCTGTCGTTTTCCTCGGCCGTGCCTCCAACCGCAGGATGAATGTATCGTCTATGAACCTCAGATGTCTAAAGCACCTTTTTAAACGGCAGCCACTTTTATTTTTTCCCTCTCTCAGACGTAGATGCAACCTGCTGACCCCAAAGCCGCCCGTTTTCAGCCTCCACCCAAAACTTGCTGCAACACGAGAAAAGCCTTCAGAAGCATCCGTTTGATGAGAGCTCTGGCCGTATGAGATGCCTAGTCTATACCTCAAAGCATTCGTAGGTTTAATCAATTGACGTCCAGCTTTTATGATGTTTTCTAATGAGATGAGTGGATTTGGAAGCCCCGCGCTGTTGTTGGAAAGCTCTCGGGATGTATATAAACAGATTCCGTTGGTCGTTATTGCTCGAGCAAAGCAGAAATGGTTTGTGAAATTAGTTTTGTAGCTATTTGACGAGTTCTTAGATGTTTGCAGTAGTTCAAATAAAAAAAGAGGTGGTATGTTGATATATTGATATGTTGTCTGTACACGAGGCCTTCTGAAGTAACTGGAAAAGAGTCACAACGTTGTGAATAGTTTGTGTGTTGCTTATTATAAAACCGACCAGAGATGATTTTAAAAGATAAAATAACTGTAACCTATTTAAGTAGATATCGTGTGTACGTGATAGCAAAAAAACATGTTTTCTAGAGGAGAATAGAGAACCCTTAATAGACGGAATATGCAGATTCTTACAGAGACGCCTCATCACTTGGTGCTGTACAACCTTTCCTGCTTTTAGTGGCCAATGGGCTGGTTTTCTGGAGATGTTTGTGACTATATTGTGCTGGGATCTTTACTGGTGCCTGGTAGCGGCCCGTAACGCGGCTCTCTGCTCTTCACAAAGATCAGCTTCATTTCTACTCGCTGTGTGTTTGTGTTTGTTTTCTGGAAGTGATTGGCTGTGAGCGTCAGGCTCTGTACTTTAATGCCTGTCATGGTTTTGTTGTGTGCTTTTGGGAAAGGAGTTTGTTTTTTTGTAATGTTGTTTCAAGGCTTCTGTCTAAGAATTATTTTTATGGAGGTAGATGCAATTCTTCTCACTACTATATTGATCCCTTATTTTTGTGTCTTTAAAAAAACCTGGTTATTTAGCATCGGCCGCTTAGTTTGATTGTATTTTGTACTGGTAAGACGTCGATTAAATTTGTGTAAACCACTTTTGTGTCTGTTATAAATTCACACAGACTTGGTTTGTTTTTTTTCATATATATATAGTAAATCTTTTTTGAATACTCAATTTTCTATCATTATACATACATACTCATTCACAAGTGTCCACTTAAAATGAAAAGATGTACATCCGGTTGTTCAAACGTGAAATAAGAGAGTGTTTTTGCGCTGAACAAATGATTGTTTACAGAGATAAAAGTAGAGCAGAGGCTGGTTGTGGTCCACAGTTGCAGTGCTGTCCTAGAGCTATGCATCATGGGTAAAAGTGACGTCCCACACATCACACTCTACAGTATGTACACTGCTCTCCCTCTTCAGGATTTCTCCACCAGCACAGGTAGCTTTAAAAGTGCAAACGTTGAGTCTCCTTGTTCTACGAGCAGCAATCGTCACTCATAAAGAACAGCCGGCCATGTACTTTCCTGAAAACACACACAGACAACTATGCATCATGATTCATAATCAATAATCAATCAATCATAACTCAAATCAGATCATTTTCCTAATGTAGTCAGACATGTGTTCAGAGATTAGATCATCTTGAACTTTAGGCTTTAAGCAAACTTTAGTTTCACTTACCTTAAAAAAAGTTTTTACTTTTGATTCAAAACATTAAAAAACTTAACAGGTTTTTATTGACAGTGAGGTGTAATTAGAAACCCTTATGATTGTCTGTCTGCTATGTCTTGCTATTTACCTTTTAAATGGTTTAAATATTCATTTAAACAGAATTATTAGCCCCCTTTGATTTTATTAGATTTTTTTATAATTCCCAAATTATGTTTAACAGAGCAAAGACATTTTCACAGTATGTCTGATAATATTATATATGTATGTATATTATTTTGGCTTAAATAAAAGAAGTTTTTAATATTTAAAAACAAACATTTTAAGGTCAAAATTATTTCCCCAGTTGATGCGGTGGTGCAGTGGGTAGCACGATCACCTCACAGCAAGAAGGTCACTGGTTCAAGCCTTGGCTTAATCAGTTGGTATTTTTGTGTGGAGTTTGCATGTTCTCCCTGTGATGGCGTGGGTTTCCTCCGGGTGCTCCGGTTTCCTCCACAAGTCCAAAGACGTGGTACAGGTGAATTGGGTAAGCTAAACTGACCGTAGTGTATGTGTGTGAATGAGTGTGTATGGGTTGCAGCTGGAAGGGCATTCCCTGCATAAAAAAATATGCTGAATAATTTGCCAGTTCATTCAGCTGTGGCGACCCCAGATCAATAAAGGGACTTAACAGAAAAGAAAATGTATGAATGAATGAATTATTAGACCATTTAAGCTCATTTTTTTGGATATTCTACCAAACAAACAATCATTTTACAATAACTCCCATTTTAAACGCTGTGTAAAAACGTGCTGGATAAGTTGGTGCTTTATTCTGCTGTTGTGACCCCGGGTTAATAAAGGGACTAAGTCAACAAGAAAATGGATGAATGAATGAAGTCTTTAAATGTCACTTTAAGCTGTATAGAAGTGTGTGTGGGGGGGTTATAATTCTGACTTTAACTGTATGCATTTCTCTGATGTTTTTTTTTTTTCAACGAAACCTCCAGAACATTTAAAATTCTTGCATTACCAAGGAATTCATAACTTTTAAATACACAAATACAAAATCTTTCTTGTTGTTAAGAATATGAATAATAAGTATTATAATGGTAAACCTATTTTTTTCTTTGGTTAATAAATATACTCATGTACACCCAAATTAATGTTTTAGAAAAATATTTAATAAAATTAATAAACCTAAAAAATTGAGAGGAAAAAATGTTTGAAATGTTGTAGTTTGTCATTTTTATTTGCAATATCTCGTTTAAATTTAAATGCATTTTCTTCATTCATTTTCTTTTTGGCTTAGTTCCTTTATTATTCAGGGGTCGCCACAGCGAAATGAACCACCAACTTATCCAGCATATGTTTTACACAGCAGATGCCTTTCCAGCTGCAACCCATCCCTTGGAAACACCCATACGCTCATTCACACACATACACTATGGCCAATTTAGTTTACCAAATTCACCTGTACCAAATCTTTGGATTTGTGGGAGAAACCCATGCCAACATAGGGAGAACATGCAAACCCCTCACAGAAATGCCAACTGACCCAGCCGAGACTCAAACCAGTGACCTTCTTGCTGTGTGGCGACAGCACTATCTACTGTGCCACCATGTATTTTCTTTAGATTCCTGAACATGTTAGATGACCAAACTTATTTATAAATGGACAGAACTGTTCACTTCACCTCAAATGATAGGCTGTATATTTACTAAGAATTTGATCAAAATATTTATTTTCATGTACTCATTTATGAGTGTACTGTATGTATATATAATCAATAAAAAAAAAAAAAAAAAAAAAAAAAAAATATATATATATATATATATATATATATATATATATATATATATATATATATATATATATATATATATATATATATATATATATATATATATATATATATATATATATATAACAATAATCTTCTTTTGAAAGGAATATGAACTGTTTTTTTTCAGTTGCCATTAAACTGACTTCAGGTTTTAGTCTCAGTTAACCGTGATCACTGTGCCTGCTCAATGTAGGTTTCACCATAAAGTTCATTTCAGAAAAGCTGAGCTTGTTGCAGAGAGCAGTGCCATTCTGTCAGAGAAACTGATCTCAAACATGGGCAGCTCCTCTGAGTTGACGCATTCACACAGAGCATCCTAAACATCCTACAATTCCTTGTCATGAAGCTCTCCGCTAATGAGAGAACGCTGATCGGAAAGCAGCAGAAGTGGGTCAGACGTTCACCTGTGGCAAACCTCTTCTTGACCAGAGACATGCGGTATCTGCTGCCCACCAGCTCCACATCCAGGCCTGACAGAGACGCCCCCGAGCCCACAAACTGCACTGCCAGACTCGGGGCAGGACCACGGGGAACCTCCAGGCACTGCCAGCTGGCGCACAGCGTGCCAGAGCCTGAAACACACACACACACACACAGTTCAGATGAAAGATCATCCTGATGGTAGCCATATCTGAATAACTCCCAGAATGCTGTGTTTTTGCTGGCCTCTAGATCTGAACAGCCTTTCTTTCGCCCACTTCCTGCATCAGTGAAGACAGATACACTCAGCTAATATGATTCAACGCTACACTATTTATACAGAAAGAAAATCAATATTCATTACATATTCTGACATGTGCAGCACTTTATAAAACTATTTATTCAGGTGAAAACGTTCCAAAATGGAACTTCAACATTAAGATTGGAACTTTGATATTTTCAGCATTTTATAAAACTGATATTGACATATTTATATCTTTTTATTCATTTGTTCAGAAAGTTCTAATGTTAAACCTAAAGAGCTGACACCATTCATTGATATCTGGAGCATTTTATGACATCAATGTTCTTTATTATCTTGTTTAAAATGATTTTGCTTTAATAAACAGACATTATTTAGTAATATTTTTGTATTTAGCCTTTTAATATTACTGTTAAATAATTAAATAAATATTAATAAGTAATATTCTTTATTCAGTTAAAAAAAGTCTCAAAATAAAACTTTCAATGAAACAGACAAAATTACTAGTAAAATATTATGTACTGTCATCATGGCACAGACAAAGGAAATAAGTTATTAAAATAATTCTGTTTATAAATGTGTTGGAAAAATCTCCATTAAACGCCTCTTTATTATTACTGAAAAAGAATGACAACTGCACAAGAGCGCTAATAATTACCTTCAAATGTGTCATGTAGAGTGAGTGTTTTTCTTCTTTACAGTTGGAAATTAATTGATGGTAATAACCAGTGGTGTAAAGTGACAAATGACATTGTAACTACTGTATTTAAGCACTACTGTAATTAAGCACTACTGTAATTGAGCACTACTGTAATTGAGCACTACTGTAATTGAGTAGTTTTTCTCAGGATTTGTACTTCACTAAATAGTTTCATGAATGTGGACTTTTACTTTCCCTTGAGTACATTATTAGAGCTGTATCAGTACTTTTCCATCAACCTGCAATCACTATTCTTTCCTGTCTATAGGGATTAGAAAAATCAGTGCTGTGATAGCTGTCCAATCAAATTGCACATAGAAGTAAACTGCATCATAAATGACCTCAAGACATGGGCGATTTATAATTGCAGCAAAGTGTTTGGAAGCATTAAAAGTGTTGAAGAAGATGACTAAAATCTTTACACGCATTGACCCAGAGACTGTTTAGACTGAATGTCACTGATGAGAAGATGATGGATGTTTACTGTATCAATCCACTACTGAATGTCACGTTTACACAAATGCTGAAAGGACTTGTAAATGCATCAGCTTTTCACAGCGTATCACTCAGTCCTCTTGAGTACTTTTGAAAGGTCGACTTTTTACTCTTACTTTGAGTAATATTTACAACAGATACTCAGTACTCTACTTGCACTACATTTTTGGGCGAGTAATGTTAATTTTCTCAAGTGTGATTTGTCTGTACTTCTTTTGCCACTGATAAGAACAGAACATGAACGGTTTCAAATATTTAAATAAATATAATAACAATCAACTTTTGGTGGGAAAAAAGTTTCTATTCAGCTCTGAAACCAGATTATTATGGACCTAAACATCCTCCTCATAACATGAAGTGTGTGAGAAGTTTGAGGTGAGGATGAACCTTTGCTGTGGTTTGTTGGCGAAAGGTTTGCCAGTTTCCAGAGCAGCCGGCGCTCCTCTGCGTTCCTGACATACAAATCAAAACAGAAGAAAAGATTGAGTGTATTTCCCTCTGGAGTTTCAGCGGTTGTGAGTGCTCAGGGTTTTATCACCCACTCACCAGGCTGCAGGTGGTTGGCACTGCAGGTCGGTGGCACTGTGGTCAAGGGGCAACAGCACCTGTACTGAGGTCAGTTGTGTGGCGGGGGCAGTGGCGGGACAACAATGATAATCCAGAGAGACACGGGTGACCGTCCCGCTGCGCTGACACTCAGCAGACAACAGAAG